CCGCCACCTCCCATTGGAAAGAGGAATGCTCTGACCATTGGGAGAAGAACGACAAAGACAAGAAGAGCCCGCATCTGAAAATTGAAATATGGAATTCTTCCAGAAGTACTTTTGGGAAGAATAGTTCTAACTTCACGTCATTGCAAGGTGGCTTATTCTAAATAAAAACTGATCAACTATCACTTTTTCTACTGTCTTCGTGTTTAATTTGGAACATAAAACAACTTATTAGAACTACCGGAAAAAGATATTGTCAGTAAGAGTGCGATCCATACTTTAGATTGGTTTATATAATGGGCGATGATCACGGATCGTCTAACCTAGATAAAGTGGCGACTTCTTGACTTAGAAACAAAAACCGGTACATAGGCGAGTAGATGTGCTCGTGTCCGGATCGGAAATTAGAAGAATTCTCATGCTTGTGCCATACAATTTTCATATCACGTAGAAAAGAAAGATATGTTTAACTCTCCATACACTTCTGAAATAAAACTAAGCCACAGATATAAGAGCTTTGAATTAGGTTGTAAAGGAACTCCTTAAATCCAATCCTTACTCACCAGCGAAATTAGTGTAGGTTGGAAAACATCTAATAAACTGTAGGTTTTTCTTACAAGCAAACAGAGGTTTTTTACCGTTAGCTTTCTAGCAACTGGAAGTATCTAGCAGGATAATTATCAAGCGTTCATGCACACTGAGTTACCCCTCTCTGTTATAGGATCTGCAAATTAAGAACAGAGATGAGTGCATAAATTAGCAAAAATCCCCTTATGTGATATGGATAAATTTTTTATTTGACTTCATCGCAATAGTATCTTCCGCCAATCATTTGAAGAGACCGAATGCTTGCGCTGTTCATTGTGTGAATTCTCCATCAGGCCAAACGCGACTCTTTGTAACTTATCAAAAGTTCCTTTATGATGATCCGTGGGATCAACGGACGATAAAATAAAGCCCACACATGTAGACATATTGCATATATGTACAATTGACAAAGGTAAAACTTAGTCAGCCTTTCTAATGATCACTTCCGTTCGATCTTCTATTTCTTCCTCTCCTTCATCCTCGACTTCTTTGTCTTCCTCATTGCTGTCTTCACCCTCCTCATTTTCCTCAGTGATCGATTCCTTGAACAAAGGAAAATGGACCTTAACTTTAGAAGAGAAACTTGATTACCGTAGTTTTTGCTTTGTGTCGGAAAATGCCGCACTTTACTGTAGAGCGGTCTACAGTACAGTATTCTCTGGTTTCCATAGCAAATGTGAGTTCCTGAAGCGAAGATTTCTTATCTGTTCGCGATAATCAATAAGTTCTCTGCAAATGATACACAAAGAGGAGGCCACCTTGTTGCCAAGTATGAAACAGTTGGTAATGTTAATTACTAATTGTGAACACTGGATTTTATTTACTGACACCAACCTTTTCACTACAGACA